CAAACAGACCCAATATGTCCCGACGGACAACTAAGTCATTTACTTTCCAACTAATGTGAACATAGGCTAATGGATTTTATTTTACTTTGATTATTTATTATAAAGTTAAATTAAAGAGAATCCATGCCAATACATCGACCTTTTATTTCATAATGCTCAGGCTCTCTCGGCAGAATGGCTGACCGCTTGCCGAGAGTGTCGTATACAGCACGGATTCCATACCTACAGCGACGATATCCATAAACATCGCATTTATGAACCTGATACGGTTCATGAAACGAAATTACAACTCTCGGGAGAGACCCCCAAAAAAAAAAAATCTTGTCAGACTAAAAAACATTAATAATAATTATGTTAAAAACCCTTTCCACGATATATGCATATTCTCCTGTATTGGTAAGGTACCTGGGGTCGTTGTTGGAGATAAGGAATTCATGCTTTGTTTGACGCTTTCTATATGCATCTAGTCATTCTGGGAGGAAGGCCTTATACTGAATAGTAGTGTTTGATTAGTGACGCGATCGACATCGAACAAGCCCTCTTTACCATTAAAGGGTGATTACTATTACCCGGTTGAGCCTGGGTCAAACTTGGAGCTCACGTCAACTGTTAAACATATTTCCGTAACACGGATTCGAATACACGACCATCGGACCGACAGGCTTACCCAGTGAGCAACCCAAAACTCTCTAGAAAAGAATTTCAGGATATTAATTTCTTAAACTAACAAAATGGCGGTAATGGGAACTCTTTTGCTTCTGCTACAAGCGACATATTCGTTGTTGTTAGTACTGTTGTTATGACAACATGCCAGAAGTGACCTTCGTGGCAAACTAGCCTTGGGGTAGAGAAAGTGTGGGAAATATGGTTTGGTGGGTGGTGGGTGGTGGGTGGGTGGTTTAACCCTGTATGTGCATGATTACCAGTGAATATAACTTCTTCTTCTTCTTCTTCTTCTTCTTCTTCCTCCCTCCGTCTTCTTTCATTCCTTCTCTTCCTTTGCCTTTTCTTTTTTTTTCCCTTCTTCTTCTACTTCTCCTTTCCTCATCCTTCTTCTTCTTTCCATCCTCTTCCTCCTCCACCTCTTCTCCTTTTCCTCTGTCGTTCTCCTCCTCCTCTTCTTCTTTTTCTTTCTTCTTCTTCTTCTTCTTCTTCTTCTTCTCCTTCTTCTTCTTCTTCTTCTTCTTCTTCTTCTTCTTCTTCTTCTTCTTCTTCTCTGCTTTCTTCTTCTCTTCTTCTTCTTCTTCTTCTTCTTCTTCTTTCTTCTTCTTCTTCTTCTTCTTCTTCTTCTTCTTCTTCTTCTTCTTCTTCCCCTCCTCTCTTCTTCTTCTTCTTCTTCTCCTCCTCCTTTGTCTTCTCCTCCTCCCTCCTTTGTCTTCTTCTTCTTCTTCTACTTCTTCTTCTTCTTCTTCTTCTTCTTCTTCTTCTTCTTCTTCTTCTTCTTCTTCTTCTTCTTCTTCTTCTTTTTCTTCTTCTTCTTCTTCTTCTTCTTCTACTTCTTCTTCTTCTTTTTCTTTGTTTCTCTTCACTTTTAGCATGTCGAAACGTCGTTGGTTACAGAAGAAAAAAACGGAGCTTTCTGTGTGAACTGATGTCAAATCCTGATTTGTTCGTTGATTCATTCATTCATTCATTTATTCATTCATTCATGCATTCGTTCATTTATTCGTTTCATTCATTCCATTATTCATTTTTTATTCATTCATTCATTCATTCATTCACTCATTCATCCGTAACCTTTTCCTGGCCACACACACCATTGCTGGTTCCAGAGCCAACTGGGTCACTATTTAGATAGCTGCAGGGTGCAGTATTTTTACGGAACCTCAAACAGGTAATTATGTGGTGTTAAATTTTCTCCCCTGGGGATCACTCATCGAGGCTTTCCTACAAGTCTTGAGTCTGTGTTGCCTGTGTGAGACGTTCTCTTGTATGTCTTCGCATATAATAACCAGCTCGCTATTCCAAGGTTTCGTCGTAAATGATATAGACATCCCGCTGTCTCCCCCCCCCCCCTCCCTTTCTCCCTTTTTTCGTCTGCTTCATTTTCGGTGGCATTTTCCCCCCTAGATCAGTGTTCTTCACATTATGGACCACGGCCCTCTCATCTGCCGCGGCAATGTCCAGGTCATCATCATCATCAAGTGCCCTGCCGACTAGAGTGGGCGATCGCGCCTCTTTAAAATCCGCTATCTGCAACTGCATGTATCAGTTCCTGTTACATGACACCCCCCCCCCCCCCCCTCTCCCTTTTCCACCAGACCCCATGACATGACAAAAAGCTTTAAAGAATTCTCTTCGCGCGCTATCTTGCCCTGTCAGTCTTTCCACAAATCTTTCCAGTGATCACAAAATATTCACGTTTTCTACTTCTCCTAACATGATGAAACAATTATGACTGTTTCTTTCTTGTGTTTATGATAAGTTGTCTTCGAGCATACGCCTCTTTCAAAACATTTGCACAAAATGTTATACATTTTAATCAAAGGCAAAATTGGCCTGTTCCATTCTGTTCTTTATCTCTGTGATGCATCTTCCATTGGAGGTTATCCGTGTATCTAGATACCTAAATTTGTGTTATTTCTAACGACTTTTATTATAAAAATGTCAAGGCAGACGCCGAACAATTACTGCCTAATCACCATACAGGGTACGGTACTTAATGTGTCTCTTCTTCTTCTTCTTCTTCTTCTTCTTCTTCTTCTTCTTCTTCTTCTTCTTCTTCTTCTTCTTCTTCTTCTTCTTCTTCTTCTTCTTCTTTTTCTTCTTCTTCTTCTTCTTCTTCTTCTTCTTCTTCTTCTTCTTCTTCTTCTTCTTCTTTCTTCTTCTTCTTCTTCTTCTTCTTCTTCTTCTTCTTCTTCTCTTCCTTCTTCTTCTTCTTCTTCTTCTTCTTCTTCTTTCTTCTTCTTCTTCTTCTTCTTCTTCTTCTTCTTCTTCTTCTTCTTCTTCTTCTTCTTCTTCTTCTTCTTCTTCTTCTTCTTCTTCTTCTTCTTTCTTCTTCTTCTTCCTTTTTCTTCTTCTTCTTCTTTTTCTTCTTCTTCTTTTCTCTTCTTCTTCTTCTTCTTCTTCTTCTTCTTCTTCTTCTTCTTTTTCTTCTTCTTCACTTCTTCTTCTTCTTTCTTCTTCTTCTTCTTATTCTTCTTCTCTCTTCTTCTTCTTCTTCTTCTTCTTCTTCTTCTTCTTCTTCTTCTTCTTCTTCTTCTTCTTCTTCTTCTTCTTCTTCGCGTTCACAGGCTGTAAACTCTAGCGAAAGTTCTGGCTGTTCGTCCACCTTGGGGCTTTATTCTTATTCCAGAATCTAAGTGACGAGTGCACATCCGTTAAACAGGTCTGGCTTACTGTTTCCATGCATTTTAGGCAGACACTGTCCGACTTCGAGGGAAGCGCCCCAGTTAGTTAAGTCCTACGACATGCGACCGAGCTATTCCCGACAGAAAATCCTTTCGGACTCCTAATTATAGTTTTAAAATTGCGTGTGTTTTAACATTGCCTAAAGTACTGAAAACAGTTTTAGGGTTTCGATAGATCCGAAAATGTGAAAATATTTCGCGCGTGACCTTCACGGTCTTATAGATGTTTTCCTATAATAAGTCATCCATATGATGGTATGTGGATGAAATAGTTGATGAAAAGTAGCAAGGATTTTACACGTTATTCACCGGATGCTACATTTATAGACCAGTCGGCATTCAGTGGGTGATGTCCATATCACACCGGCTGCCTTTACTTTACACGAAATTACCTGATATGCAAGGTCGATTTTGAGAGATGAATGTGCCTGAATGGCTATTCAAATAGTGGGCTTCAAAAGTCTTGCCTTCAAACTAATAAAAATCTAGAAAACCATGTACCGACCACAACTATTGTTTACAAGTGGTCAAAGACTTTCCGTGTCCTTGTGATTTTGCAATTTACAATTGCACAGGTGCTGCTGTTTTCTTAAGGTGGCGAACTGCTTTGATCTTTGTTTGACTAATGATTTGTGTACACCTAAAAAAATAATATGCAGTAATTGACAAACGCGTGAAAATCAATTGGATATCACTTCACACGTGCAGTGATGAATGGTGATTATTTTGACAGTCTATCCTGCATACTTTTTTAAAATGAAAAACATCTTGTGCAATATATCCTTGTCATTGAGAGTTAGAAAAAGAATTCTTGCTTGCTACATGCATCCAGTTTTAACATATGGCTGTGAATTCTGGGCAATCGGTAGGCAGGCCAAACAATTTCTTGAGGCCTCAGAGATATGGTTTTACAGAAGAATGCTTAGAATACCTTGGACAGCCAAAAAAGAGCAACCAAGAGGTTTTGAAAGAGACATCAGAAGGAGACAGTCATCATTTTTCGGCCATTTTATGAGAAAAGGGAAAATAGAACATGTTGTGACCACTGGAGAGATCTTTGGAAGGAGGGATAGAGGAAGACAACGAGAGAAGATGCTTGACAGTCTTGTTGCATGCCATGGAGGTGTGTCGGCACATGCTGCAGGAGATCGCAGATTATGGAGAGGCATGATCGCCCACGCCAGTCGGCAAGGCACCTGATGATGATGATGATGATCCTGCATTCGACGAAACCTTCGCAGTTAACCAGAGGATAATACTGGTGCCAGTGCAGGTTTCTCAGAGAACTCTTGCTTTCGTTACTCTAGCTACGAAGCTTGTGCTTTGTGTTTAATTCCACATGCGTTACCAGCAGCTTTGCGGAGAAAGAGATCGAGCAGTTTAAGACAAACCCTGACGGAATACAGATGTATGATGAACAGGATGCGCAGCTCTCGATGTGTTGGGTAATATCTAGCTAAATTAATTATTTCTAATTTTGCCACTAGCAAGGCTAAAACGATGTATCCATCATCTAATCATTATTCCCTCTTATCTATTTTTAAAGCACTTTGAATCCATTATCTAACCATTTTCCCTCTCTATTATCTATGTTTATAGCACTGTGTATCCATTATCTAAACAATATTTCCACTTTGTATTTTTGTCTAGCGCCCTCCGGGTTCAAAGTTCAGCTGGATTTCAGAGACAAGTTTGTGCTAGAGAAATCAGACGGATGCAAGTACGATTATTTGGAAGTTCGAGATGGTCCATTCGCCTACTCGCCCTTGATTTCTCGCTACTGCAACGCCGAATTCCCGCCAATCATTACATCATCCGGTCGCTTCCTTTGGTTGAGGTTCAAGACGGATGATATACTTCAATACGGAGGATTCAGAGCTATATATTCATATCATAAGGATAACAGTAAGTGCCATGTTAAGATTGTAAATCGGAATCTTCTTTGGACATCATTATCTTCTTCTTCTTCTTCTTCTTCTTCTTCTTTGTTTTACGTCTTTTTTCTTATTTTCTGCTTATATTATTATTATGGAAGTCGCTTTGGCCGAGCGGCTAACGCTGGCCGCTGATCGGGAGGTCGTGGGTTAGCTCCCTGGCGGAGCCGGACTTTTTTCAAAAATGACCTTGGCTCCCACGTCGACCCAGCCTTTAGTGGGTACCGGGTGCAGTCCCGGGAAAGTGAAGGCGGCCGGCGTGATACTGACACATCACCCATCTTGTGCTGATTGGTCTATAAAAATATAGGTCTAGCCCTATATGCCCTATACGCCTTAAGGCGTGGAAAAGGGTCCTTTACTTACTTATTATGCTTCTCCTTCTTCTTTTTCCTTTCCTCCTCCTTCTCCTTCCTCTTCTTCTTCTTCTTCTTCTTCTTCTTCTTCTTCTTCTTCTTCTTCTTCTTCTTCTTCTTCTTCTTCTTCTTCTTCTTCTTCTTCTTCTTCTTCTTCTTCTTCTTCTGCTGCTGATGTTGCTTCTCCTTTTTCTCCTACGCTTCTTCTATATATATATATATATATATATATATATATATATATATATATATATATATATATATATATATATATATATATATATGTGTGTATGTGTGTGTGTGTGTGTGTGTGTGTTACTCATCAATCTCAAATCTGGTCTTGAAACTAATTATGTTTTTAAGTTAATTGCGAATGCTTTACCTGACCTTGCAGAACCAGCCCCAGCAGTGTTTGAATGTTGCGGTTTCACTAGACAATTATTTTACCTTCAGAAGTTTGCCATTGCCTTCATCTGTGATTTAATGCTGGGGTGCCGGACTCGATCCAGGCTGCGGATAATTTGGTACAGTCACATTTTTCGTTTTTCTTAGGTTTCTATATGGGTACCAAGAGCTAACTGTTCAGTAGCAGTGGCAAACTACTGAGCTTAAAAGTTGCCTATAAAAGACGCAAAATCCACATACAAAATATACTGGGGATGGTACTGCAATGTCCTGTAAATAATAGGCAGCTAACTTGGTTGTCCTTACTTACTGAACGGCTGGCTTTCGATACTACTTCCCAAACCAACGCAAAGCGGTCTGCTACTATATCGCCCGCAGATGGGATCATACCTAGGAATTACGATGCACGGTGGCAATGCCTAAGTCACAGACAACGATAAATTAATTACCCTGAACTGATAATCACATATGATTTTGCTGCTGACGAAACTCTTGTTGTCCTTCACAGCCCAAAATGACGACGCGGTGGCAGGCAGAGGTGAGCGGAAGCCATCTTCTCACGGTGTGTTTGTGGTTCTGTTGTATGTTTCAGTGCATGTTTATTTTGGTGTGGCTTTATCGTAGATGTGCCTGTTAATTATTATTCCTTCGAGTTTTACTTGTGACTTCTTAGTTGTTATTAGTATTGACGTCTTAGAATGCTTTATTAATATTCTACCCCCATATGACGTCTCAGGACAGTCCAACATTTTAGAGGGTGGTAAGACTGGGTTTCCGGCTCTCTGATTCTTTTAGCGACCCCAAATCATCTCGAACTGGCCCCAACGCAAACCCACCTACGCCCCATGAGAGAGCGCAGCCTAGGTACAACGACTGCATGCAGCCTATCTCCCCCCCCCCCCCCCCCCAACTCTCCCCCCCCCCCCAACCCCTTGAAATATTAGACTGCCCCGTGACGTGTGGATTTCCCCTCTTTGGGTTAGGATATTAATAAAGCACCCACATCGGTCTAACCCATTCGTGCACCGTCCTCCGATGTAGCATCTATCTCAGTGTCTCCAGAATCCAGGAGTAGCTTGGACAGTCAGAATGGGTAATCCATATATTTTGAAACATGCGAGTTCTGAAGACAACTTATCACAAACAGAAGGAGACAGTTATCACATTTTGTTCATGTTATTTTCTTCGTCTCTTCACTACTCCTGAAATGCATCGCGGCGTCAGGGCAGGAAGAGATCTATGAGACGGGCCGTTCTGTAAGCTAAAGTACTTCTCATTGTCTCTGATCTTTCTGAGATCTATGTTCTGCGTGGTCTACCTCTGAATCTGTTACCACTGTATCTGTATAACATTGCTCTATTGTTCCTGTTATGAGAATACATAAACTGTAATATTCTGTAAAGATTGGACAGATTTCTGAAAAAAGAGTAGTTAAAGGCAAGGCTAGAAGATTCTTGAAAGCCTTTTGTCAAGACGTGGAGTGGTGTCAGCACACGAACTGAAACATAATAGTGTAAATTGCACGATAGACATATTTGCCCATGCAAGTGGACAGGGCACTTCATGACGCTAATGCATGTTGGTTTGATTTCCTTGTTTCGTACAGGTAGCTGTAACGTGTTTGCTCCTTTCCCTTTATTACTAGCATTACATGCTCACTCTCAACATAGTGTACAATATATTGCTTGCCTAACAGTAAACTCAGAAGTTAATGACCCTTTTCCACGGCTTTAAGCGTACTGCTAAACTGAACTTCCTGCCAAAATGGAGGAAAGCTTTGTCAGAATGTTTAGCTTTGAAGTTATTTTGCCTCCGACAGCGCTTTGCTGATGCAGTTTTCATTAAAAAACGGTAGTCTACGGTTTTGCTGCCAGAGCTGCTAAGTTTAGTGCTTGGTTGCAGCTCTGTGGTCTGTTTTTGTTTCATGTGGAATGCCTTTCATTTGTTCAGCGGCTGTGTCGTGGTATTCAAAATGGCCGGTAGCCGGTTTACGTGTGAGCTAGTGAAATACCTTATATAATAATTCTACGTGTGTATAGTAACAAACTTATCGTGCCTGACTACTTCCATCAACGACAAACTGTATTTCTGGTAGCGAATGTTGGCTTTGGCGCCTCCAGCAACTGAAATACACATTTACTGTTGCGCATATTTCTAGATTGATTCAGAACTAGTTATTTGTTCACCTTTTTTCAGTTGCAACACTGAGGGACATGTCATTTGATCTGCACTGGCACAGGAACGGAACAAGTAATGGGGAAACCCGATTGCGGGGATGTTGAAACCTTGACCAAGACCAACACTAAGCGTACTGGCTATATAGTATACACCAATCGGCACTTAGTGGGTGATGGGTCACCATCACGAAGCAGCATTTACTTCCCGTGACTGTTCCTGGTGCCTAGTGCTTATTGAAGTCTGGGTCAACAGGTTTTTGAACAAAACGTCTAGCTCCATATTATAAACAAGCTATTCACTTCTATAGTTCATAGAGCAAACAGTTACCATTCTGCTTACTTCCATGTGCTAATCAACAGAAAATAGGCATGCCATGAACTTTCACCTACTATACAGCAACAACAACAGAATCATGTCAATATGAGAATGGAGGTAGAGGCGGTAACCGCTGCTTTCTGGTGGCTTTAGAGCAACACAGTCCCACTTATTGTAACTGTAACGGACTCACAGAGTTTGCTTCAGAAAATTGAAACTAACTTCCAGCTCACAAATTGACTGGCATCACTTGATAAGTCTCAGATCAGGAACACATCATGGATTTTCTATTCATAAGATTCGGGTGCGCGGACCAACGAGCAGCTTGATAGATTAGATGCTACAGCTCAACTGAGTGTTGAGCTACTTTATGAAAAAGCAGACGTAGTGAAGGTTGTCTGGGATCCAATAGACAGTGCAATAGAACAGAGAATCCCTACATTGATAGACTAATTCAAAGCTGGGTCAGTAGAGGTTCTGAAAGATATTCAACACTGAAGGGGAAACATAGGCGGACTTGTAATCAGGTTGCAGCTAGTACTAGTAGCATGTCGACTTTTCGTTGGCTACTGAAGAAGGGGACGGAGCAAGTGTGGGAATTCCCTGGCTGCAGAAATGTTAATTCTTGATTCCCACATATATTTTAAAAAAAATCATCCCACATACCTCAATGAGCAAAAACAGCAACTAAAAGTATACCATTTTCTTTCAAGTGCTATAAAACACATTAAAAGCATGATGTTTTTACTTCTATATATAACACAATATTTAAAATTAATAGTATTAACTTGTATGTGTTTATAAAACCATTAACAAACACACAATGCACTGTAAAACCTAACAAACATATAATGCGCTATAAACTATTCAACGAACATAACGATGTATGATCATGTGCTATAAAACCTATAATAAGCATTTGTGCTATAAAACATAAAAAGCATGTAAATTACTTTCTTGTGCTTTAAATATGTACAACAATACACCATTTAGTTATAAATACTATAAAACCTACAACAGACATTATTTGTGCTATAAAAGATCCCCCCCTCCCCCCCCCCCCCCCCCCCCCGCCAAAAAAAAACACACACAAAAAAAAAACATGACAATTACCTCTTGAACTGTAAAACATAAAATAAACACACCATATGTTGATATGTGCTTAAAAATATATCTTCTTCTTCTTCGCTTTCACCGGTTTTAAATACTACAGCGGAAAGTCATGTTCCAGAAACTGAGTGTTGCGTGCACATCAGTTTCACAGGTCTGACTCGCTTGCATGCAGACTGTTCTAGTTCCAAGGAAAAAAAATCAAAAACTCAACCACGTTCAACCTGCTGCTAGCTAGCCGAAGCCGCCAACAGTCTCCGGCTATATTTGTGGTCTTTTTTTTGGCCCAACTTTTGTGGCTAAAGTTCTGGTATTTGCACTGTCTCTGGGCCTAATGCTTCTTTCCTCCATGTCACACCGTCATCATGTATAGTTTTAAAGTTGTGAGTATTTTACTTTGCCGAAAAATACTAAAAACATTTCTTGGGTTTAGATAGACCCGAAAGGTCAAAATATTCCGCGTGTGACCATAGTGGTCTTATAGTTGTCTTCCTGCAATAAGAACGGGTTAATCATGTCATGGATATGTGTGGAAAATATTAGGTGGATCCTCACAAGGATTCTATCCGTCATTTGTTATAGTGTGGTCCGATTGTGTCAGTTCGGGTTGGTAGCTAGGCTCCGGTGTACGTTAATACCAGATCCCTGAAATACGCATCACGTCACCAGTCTTTACCATCGTACCATTGGGGGGAGGAGGGGGGGGGGGTTGTGAAATTGGTGGTTAGGTGCTCTGGTCATGTCAGTATCGATCAATTTGTCTTTCCTTTTTGCTGTCAGTCTTTACCTACTGCTAGTCCCACCAGTCATATTTATGTTGGATGCATGATGTGGAATAAGATGATTATAAGTATGAATCCCCTGGGTATATGGATATACGCCATTTAGTGTATACAAACGTATATACCAGTATCCATACACTCACACAAAATTACATGTTTGCACTCCCTTTCACACATATCCATGCATGCATAACCATATGGATAAGTACCTATTTGACATTTCCTACACTAGCGTTCTCTTTTATACCTGCCTATCAATGTAATTATTCTAACACTTACATTCATATAAACATGTTCATCTACCCGTAGGGGCATATACACACTTTAAATTGTATTCTCATGTCTGTATCTACTCCGTTTTTCTTACTAACTAAAGTGTTGCTCACGCAGACTGCGACTTCCAAGGAAGCTCCCATTTAGTCGACTCTTACGACATGCGTTTGGGCAGGGAGTGGATCTATTCTTGTTTTCCTCATAATGGGGACCCGAAACCCACATGGATACATATTATATAACAAACTTACAATTTACTTCTATCTACTATTTCAAAAATTTAAAATTTGAAGGGGCAAAATGGAGTCGCTGTGGTGTGGTGGCTATTCGCTAGGCTGTGGATCGGAAGGTTTTGGGTTCAGGCCCTCACAGGTTTATTCTTCAAAAATGATCTTGTCTATCAAGTTGACCCAGGCTTAAATCGGTACCGGATACAGTCCTGGGAAGTCAAGGCGGCCAGTGTGATTTTGACCACGTCACCCACTATGGCGATTTAGCATTGATTTACGTGTGCACGTAGCGGCGCGGGGGATACTCTTGGCGGTGGCGGTAAAGTCGCCGAAAAGAGATCGGCAAATTACATATAACTGAGGCCCTGTTGGGGTATTTATTTAGCCTTGATAATTTGGGACCGTTATTCAGAGGAGAGCTAAATCTTTCGTCTGCTTCTACACTGGAAGCGGTAAAACAGAAAGTGGACAATAAGAAAAAGATACAGTTGAAGACTACCTAGAAAGTCAACAATAATAAAAGAGATACAAAATGTAACAAACACACCATTTACTTCATTGTGTTCCAAAACCTACAAGGAACATACTATGTGTGTATGTTCTGTAAAACATAAAACAAAACAAAAATCATTTCTTTCCCTGTGCTGTACAAAATCTCCCTTGTTGTTTGGAGTAGCCACTGATTGGTTACTAAAAAAATGTTATAAGGGCATATATATACTGGCATTGATTAGGTAGAGAAGAGACAACTATAAGATCCGGATTTGGCAGATGATATTGTTCTTCTAAGTAAAAATAACAAAGACGTGGAGAAAAAAAAAAAAGACGATTTGTCATCTACAGTATAAAAAATAGTACTACAAATAAGTTATCAGAAAACAAATATATTTAAGATACCAACAACAGATCATGTAGATGGCATGCTAGAGAACAAACCAATAAAAGTAACGGACATTTCACATTTTTTGGGTAGCAATTTTGACTTTCTAGGAGACACAGCGGAGAAAGTTATGATACGCATTGGGAAAGCAACAAGTCTTTAAAAGCCTTACAAACATATGGTGCTCGAAGTTGTATACAGCTATTCACTATTCTTTTTAGGATGAAATTTTTAGTTATTTGAAGCCCCACTCTGGTTTTTGCCAGGGGCCGCAATATGGCCAGGCCATAAATATGGCCTAATGGCTATACGCGGTTTCTGGGACCTCTCCACGGTGATCTTCATCCACATGGTGGCACTTTGTGTCATCGGGTGTTTATCGTTTGTGTGATGTCCTGGTGGGGTAGAAAGTCAGTCAGTCAGTCAGTTATATGCAGCTTTAAGGTAAAACTACAAATCTACACCATATTTTTTCAAATGCTATAAAAATAAAACATATGTACTGGTTATTTATATGTGCCATGATACCTATGAAGTTGGAGTCGATGTGGCGTGTCGGCTAGACGCTCGCCTGCGGATCGGAGAGTCGGGAGTTCGCTCCCTGGCGGAGCCGGCCATTTCACAAAAATGACCTTGGTTTACAGGTCGACCCATCCGTGAATGAATACCAAGTGCAGTCATGGGAAGTCAATGCGGTCGGCGTGATGCTGACCACATCACCTATCTTGTGCCGTTGATCTATCAAATAATGGTCCTGCCCCATATACCCAGTGCGCCTGAAAAGTGTAGGAAAGGGTTTTTATAATAAACATAAACATAAAATGTGTTACATAAGGTATATAAAGCACACCATGTACTTCCCTCGGCTATAAAATATATAATGAACACACCATATGTTAACATATGTTGTAAAACATATAACAAACATAACAAATACTTTCTAATGCTTTAAACTAATAGCAACATCGAGCATTTGCCGAATCCCTGTCAAGCTGAGTCCAGACGAAGCAGATGGCGTGCTCACTGCAGACGACATTCCAGATGCTGACCTTCATGATGTCAACGTCTCCAAAGGTCAGCCAGTTGACTGTACCTGGGAAATCCATACTGATAAAGGGCATGGGGTAGGTGAACCGTGTGTTTTATTGTGTGTATGAGTGTTATGTTTGTGTATGGGGTGTGTTGTGTATGAGTGTGTGTTGTGTATGAGTGTGTGTATAAGTGTTGTGTTTGTGTATGGGGTGTGTTGTGTATGAGTGTGTGCATGAGTGTTAAGTTTGTTTTAGTGGTGTGTTGTGTATGAGTGTGTGTATGAGTGTTGTGTTTGTATATAGGGTGTGTTGTGTATAAGTATCTGTGTGTAGGGGAGTGGGTTGTTCGATAAATTTTACGCTGGTTTTCCCATTTAGGTATCGCTACACACTAGCTCGCTTCTGATTGGACGACCTGCTGACCACCTCACCTCTGATAGGTCGGGCTCGAGCGATTCGACTTTCACACAAGGTCACGGGGATATTCCGCACTCGCGCTGATACCACGTGATGTATATTTCACCGTGCCAGAGCTTTTAACACTTCTACAACATTTAGATATTGGATATAACACACAAACCCACCTCCCTCCCCCAGAAAGTGACAAAACCTATGTCACAGGACGTCTCTTTCTAGGAAATAGAAACGTAAATGCAGGACGACAACAGACTGCAACACCCATAACCTCGTCCACGGTAGACTAGTCCAGCCAACTTATCAATGGATTTGACCTACAACCGGTGATGTGCAAATGGGGAGACCATGATATAAATAACAGGTTGCTCTGTGAGTGTGTGTTTAGAGGTAATGATGTGCTGTTTTCAGGTCGTGAGAATTATTTGTCTCTTCTTCTGCTCCTTTATTTTTACCCTCCATCTTCCCCTCCACCTCCCTGCTCCTTTTACGACTGCACTTTCATTTATATCAAATGGAAAACATGCCCCTTTACATCACTGCCAATTTCTGCCTTTATTATACCACTTTTGCGATTTAGTCAGGGGTGGGGGGGGGGGGTTGTGCTTGACGACTTAAGGCCACCTGGCTAGTGCTGTCGCCACGGACTGTGCAGGTGAAATTTTATTTTTGTACCTTGACAGAAAAAAATCCACAGGTTCTGCTTCTGCTTCTTCTACTTCTTCTTCTTCTTCTTCTTCTTCTTCTTCTTCTTCTTCTTCTTCTCCTTCTTCTTCTTTTTCTTCTTCTTCTTCCTTACTTATCAAAATAATAATTATGATTGATTAATCAAATAGTAATTAATTTTCAGTATTTCCCTGAAAATTAAAAAGCATGAACAGCTATTGTTCACTAACTCAGTAAGAGAGCCATGCACAAAAAAATCTGAGAAAGGTAAGAGAATGGTCAAAGATTAAAATGGATTTCTTTTTCTTATTCTCAAACTCTTCGAAAGTAAATTTCCTTCTTTCGGTAATTAATTTGCTCCTTTTACAAGCAAGCCGACTACTCCCGATGTTACCTCGGATCCAATTGAAACATCTTGTTTTAAAACAGGTTGCAAACATGCTGACTTAATTTATTTCTGTATTCTTACATTTGTTTCTTCTTAAGTATGTTGCATTGACTACTTCAATATGAATTCTGAAAAGATACCGCGTCCTAGTAATTCCACAATGGCTTTGTCCACTTAAATCTCAAGGGGGTTAAAAACTTGATATAAACAGGGATAAAAGTAGCTTGTCTCCCTTTTTTTCCCCCTGTTTTTCCGCCGTTAACCCTGGTCTGTCACAGACTTCTAAACAACGCATGACATGTGTTTCTCTCTCCTGCTTTGTTTCAATTTCTTGGGAACGATACTTATAGATCACGAGGGACAGAGGTGTGTCACAGCTGAGAACTTCATGGGTGTGTCCTATGGATCAGATTTTAATTGAGAACAATACAGAGAGAAAAAAAATACCAAAAATGATATACATTTATAGATACATATGAACGACATCCAGTCATGCCCTTGTAGGATGCAATTTTTCGTAATTTTGAAACCCCACCCTGGCTCTTGACAGGGGCCGCAATATAGCCCGGTCATAAATATGGTCTAACGGCTGAACACGGTTTTTGGGACCCCTTCACGAGTGATCCTCATTCACATGGTGGCACTTTGCGTCATCTGGTGTTTATCGCTTGTGCGATGTCCTAGTGGGGTAAAATATACTACTATACATATGAAATTTATGCTCGAAAAATTATAAACATCTGTAAAACTACGCTTCGACTGCTCAGAACAGTATCTGTACGTTTACATGTGGCTGTGAAAAGTGGACATTAACAACTGCACTGAAAATGAAGATTCAAGCACTCTAAATGGGATCTTTTAGTAAAGTCTTTATATGCTATACAGAGACCACATCACATGGGTAAAAAACAAAAAGAAAATGCCTAATTCAGTTGAAAGTTGCTAACAACATCCCTATTGTCGATTTATACTATACTATATTAAGAAAAATGACCGGATAGATAACAAAGAAACGGAACTGCAAAAAAATATAGGAAATATATATTTAGAGGTAAGATCCCTTTTCACGCCTTTAGGCGCATCGGGCATATGGGAAGAGCACCCACATTTTTACAGACTAATCGGCACTAGGTGAGTAATGTGGTCAGCATTACGCCGGCCACCTTTACTTCCAGGGACTGCACCGAGTACCCACTCAAACCTGGGTTGACCTGGAAGTCAAGGTTATTTTTGAAAAAAAAATGTCTGGCTTCCGCCAAGAGGCGAACCCACGTCCTTTCGATCCGCACGGAAGCGTCTAGCCACTACGCCACGGCGACTCCAGAAAATATATATGTATGTCAGATTAATCATCGCAAAGCACAGAACACTGTATCTGCCATCGAGGCTATATCCCGATGAAAGTTGGGTGTTTAGTTATCCCGAGAAAGATTTTTTTCTGAAGAAAAACAGGTGGATATGACATTGGGCAAGCCGCACTTCGCAGTTTAAAAGATATAATGACTTGCGACGAACTAGGGGCAAGAGAAAGAAGGAAAAGAAAAAAAAAGAAAAAAAAAAAAAATAAAAGAACAGAAAGTTGCTTTGCTCAGTCAAGAAATAAAGAACAATAGATGAAGAAAGAGAAACGAAAGAAAAGAAGAAAAAAAAAATAATAATAATAAAATAATAATAATAATAAAAAGAAGAAGAAGAAGAAGAGAAAAAGAAGAAGAAGAAGAAGAAGAAGAAGAAGAAGAAGAAGAAGAAGAAGAAGAAAAAGAAGAAGAAGAAGAAGAAGAAGAAGAAGAAGAAGAAGAAGAAGAAGAAGAGGAAGAAGAAGAAGAAGAAGAAGAAGAAGAAGAAGAAGAAGAAGAAGAAGAAGAAGAAGAAGAGGAAGAAGAAGAAGAAGAAGAAGAAGAAGAGAAGAAGAAGAAGAAGAAGAAGAAGAAGAAGAAGAAGAAGAAGAAGAAGAAGAAGAAGAAGAAGAAGAAGAAGAAGAAGAAGAAGAAGAAGAAGAAGAAGAAGAAGAAGAAGAAGAAGAAGAAGAAGAAGAAGAAGAAGAAGAAGAAGAAGAAGAGCAAGACCAAGAAGAAGCCGCGACAACAGCAAGTGGAGATAAAGAACTAAAACACAAAAATAAAAACCCAAACGGGACCACCTATACATTTATTATTCTTTCAACATTCCAAGTTTAAACCACTTCCCTGTAGTCTGTCCTTCACCAACAGCCTTAAATCTTCGTTTTTACCTATACATTTACACCGGTCATTGTTCCTGCTCCATTTTCCTTGTCTTCTCCCACCACGTCTGTGACAAGATGGTGTTTGATATTTACTCTGCAGCAAGCATAAAGGAAGTCGGTGATGTTAAAAGGCGACTAAACGTAAACTGCAGAGAAGCTGCTAAGTTCTTGAAGATGTAAATGAGAAGACATTAACGGTTACAAATTGTTGCGATTCACCGTGGGAAATCTGACAAGACGACATCTAAGGCGCCAACAGATGTAGTCAGGCTGTTCTTCCTGTGTGTGCCTCAGCTGTGTTATAATGTTAGCGCTTATTTAGGGCCGCTGTTTTCGTGGCTTTTTAGTGGATGTATTTTTGGGAAGTTTTCTTCTTCTTCTTCTTCTTCTTCTTCTTCTTCTTCTTCTTCTTCTTCTTCTTCTTCTTCTTCTTCTTCTTCTTTTTCTTCTTTTTCTTCTTCTTCTTCTTTTTCTCCTCCTTGTCCTCTTCCTCCTCCTTCTCTTGCTCCTTCACCTCTTTCTCATCATGATCTTTTTTTTTCGCATACTACTACTATTACTACTACTACTACTACTATTCTACTACTACTACTACTACTACTACTACTACTACTACTACTACTACTACTACTACTACTACTACTACTACTACTACTACTACTACTACTACTACTGCCGCTGCTGCTACTAGTACTACTACTACAACTGCTGCTACTACTGCTACTACTAGTGCTACTGCTGCTGCTACTACTACAACAACAACTACTACTACTATTGATGCTGCTGCTCTTACTACTACTAAAACTGCTACTTCTACTACTGCTGCTGCTGCTACTACTAGTACTACTATTACTACTACTACTATTACTACTACTACTACTACTACTACTACTACTACTACTACTACTACTACTACTACTACTACTACTACTACTACTACTATTACTACTACTACTAGTAGTAGTAGTACTGCTGCTGCTGCTTCTACTAGTTATTTTTCTTCTTCTACTTCTTTTCCTCCCCCTCTTCTAAACGTGACCACTGAACGAAATGTTGGCGAATAAAGGAGATGGGATATATGTTTGCTTTTTTCAGTTCAGTGTGTATGTTGATCTTCCTTACCTTAGGTTGGTCTTTTATGCCGTCGTTCCACTTTGTGTGTGTCATACTCTGCGTTTATTATAATTGTTCGGTGTTTCTTTCTGTGGCAGCAGGGGCCATATACATGTTATCTGATTATACACAACTCTACTAAGATACAATGAATGATACAGGTACTGAGGTGGACTCGTGGGAACAAAATGCCATAGACAGTGTTGTGTGTGTGTGGGGGGGGGGGGTATGGCAGCACGTCAGGAAGGGAAGGAGAATGAAGGAAGAAATGATTGCAGAAAGGATGAATAATGTCTGAGAAGAAACAGACTAAACACAACTGTTGAGAACAGTGGTCCTGAAATCCCATGCTGTAGTTGCGGAAGACCTTTCTTAACGTGGACGGCTCTTGCTAGACACACGCATCATCGCATTTGCCTCCTCATAGCGCAAGATAACACTATCGTCTGGAATTAATCAAGTAACAGAAAGTTTTGTGATCGGCACTCGTAGAAAGAAGTAGAAAGATAGAATAACACACTAGACAACATAAAATCGAAAGCTATAGTTACCGTGCCGGGAATTGAACCTGTCACCTCCAGACGGCGTCTGCGCCTCAAAAGACGGAGAGGTGCTAGTCGTCATATCCATCATGGAAATGCCCAGGTGCCATGTTGTCGGTTCTCAGCTCATCTTAACTTCTAACAGACAACCATACCAAATCTTCGTTTGTTCGTTAATGACTTGTGTGGCTAGTTTTTTTCCCTGCTGGTCCAAAAGTCGTGGGTTCAAGTTCGAGTCGGATTCCGATTCCGATTCCTTTTAAGAAAAAAAAAAAATTAAAAGGTCGACCACTTTCAGACTGCTGCTAGCTAGCCGAGGCTGCTAACAGTCTCCGCCTATGTTTGTGGTCTGGGTTATTTGCGTCACTTTCGTGACTAAATTCGAGTATTTGCGCCGTTTCTGGGCTTGATGCTTCCTTCCGATTCCGACCGCTCGTCCTCTACCCCGTTGTTAGTTGTGCATGTCTTTCCTCTTCTTACTTGATGTTTTCTCTTTGTTTTGTCCCCCTCTGATTTGGCGAGTCGGATTTTTTTTTTTTTTTTTTTAAATATCTGATAACTGTTTTAATATTCTAAACAGATCAACCTCAGATCTTCCGAAATGGATATGAGGAACCGGAAACGCTGCGACAATAACAACATTACAATCTATGAAAGGACAACTCTGGACAGCGCAATCAAGGGCAAATACTGTCCGGGTAGCGACGAGCGCTTCGATATGACGTCAGATAGCAACCGGGTGTTTGTTCGCTTGTATGGGAGTTCCATCACCAATAAACCCAATGTCAAGATGATTTACTCGCTTGTTCGAAGAGGTAAGATTATTTCCTTTTCCCTAGTCTGTACGGAAAATAGTGGAAAATTCTTGAGATAATTGAAAGTAAATCTTTATAGTTTAATCTTTTTTATAAGAATGCCTTAGAACATTTGAAGAAAATAGTCCAGTCTTCTCCTTGTGAGATACAATTTTTCTTTATTATAAAAACCCATCCTTGTTGTTGCCAGGGGCCGCAATATAGCCCGACCATAAATATGGTCTAGTGGCTGAACGCGGTTTGGAGGGGGGGGGGGGGGGGGGGGGGGTGTCACAGCGTATGCCTTGGGTGCCGCGGCAGTAATGAAAAATCTTTTCAAATAGTTGCATTTGTCGCCTTTTAAGACAACTAAACATTAAATTTGCAATGTTATTTTCTTCTTCTTTTCCCTAGTATTTAACCGCTTTAACGTTGGTGTGCCGCGAAATTGTTTTAGCCCTACAAGGTTGCCACTGCAAAAAAAAAATTCAGAACTGCTGCCTAAGACAAACACTGATGTTACACTCGGCCCAATACGGGGACACAAATTTTTTTTTTTTTTTTGTATTATCAAACCCCACCCTGGTTGTCGTCAGGGGACCCTGATATAATCTAAGTTAAATGAGTTTTCTGTAACTTGTGCCCGGATGATTCTCATCCGAATGGTGGCACATTGAGTAGTTTAATTTTACCCGACCACATCTCATCGGCTCAGAGAGTTGGTAGGGAAATCTCTAGAACCACCCATTGTATACGGAGAGGGCTAAGGCTTAGTAGTATTCGCTATTCATTTAACACTAGCCCTAACCCTAACAACCCCCTCTCCCAATAATAAGTTACTGTCCAGAGAAATCACTAGGGATACCTAGAAAATCCCTACGAAATCTCGAAGCCCACGAGATGTGGTCGTAAAAAATTACAGTACCACACTTTGTGTCACCGGGTGTTTATCGCTCGTTGTGCGGTCCTGGTGGCTTTTAACATCACTCCTTAGACCAGCGGTTCTCAACCTGTGGGTCACGACCCTTTTTTGGGGTCGATCGACCTCTCCACAGGGGTCACCAAAGACTATCGCAAAACACACATTCATTGAAGTAACGAAGTAGCAACAACAATAATTTTATGGTTGGGGGGGGGGGGGGGGGGGGGGTTGCCTTGTAGCCTGTTGTTCTCATTAAGTTTTAGAGAGATAGGAAATTACAGGGAAGAGAAAAAAGGGGTAAGAAAGAACAATTAGTTAACCTTACAAAATCGATTACATTAAACAAACAGAGGACGTTGCGGCGATTAGCCTTCAACAGAAACAACACAGCAAACCTACACAAATATGCTCTAACTATGAAGTGACTACATAGAACTCCAATGTACAAAATAAATTATACTCATCTGTGTCCCTGGCAAAAAACTTCGTTTAAGAGCCCGTCTCTTTAGCGTAGTTGGCTAAACCGGATTGCGCGGTGAGCAGGGTGACGAACTCCTTGTGGTTCACTCCCGGAGGTAGGCAGAAAAGCCACATTTCTCACAGATTTACAGTATTTACAATGGAATCAAGGCCGAAAGGTTGCGATATCCATAATACCGAGCCTAAGGGTTAACAACTCATGGCTTCTAGATACTAAAACAAATAAGCAAAAAAACAACAGGATGAACAGGATAGGTACTAGCATATATCATGTAGTTCGCTCTAGCTGCTGACTGATTTTGTTCCATTGCGATCATATGACCAAACCATTTCATTCTGACCCCAATTAGACAGTGATCACAATATGACATTTGTGATAGTTTTGTGTCTTCAACAGGCGAGTGCAGTGAAACGGAATTTCCGTGCGGTGACCTTTGCCTGCCACTTAGCCTTAAGTGCAACGGCGTCGACAACTGTAGGGACAGAAGCGACGAACGAGGGTGCTCACGGGGCCGGAAAACTAAAGACAGGACTCCGGTGGACGTGGGCTCTGAAACACAGGGGGTTGTCAAGAAGCCGATAAATGTTGATGGAACTTCACAGGGGGGCAGTACAAGAGGTAAGACTTTGGCCCTATTATAGTTAAAACAAAAATAGACCCACTACCTACCCAAATGCGTGTCGTAAGAATCGACTAACTGGAAGTTTTCTTCGAAGTCGGAGTGCATCTGTTTCTGAGAGGCAAGGAACCAGCACTCGGGATACAAGTGAGTCAGATCTGTTAAACGGATACACATGCAACACTTTAGTTATAGAACAAGACTGAAGTCTAGAAGTGGACGATCAGCCAGAACTTTCTGCCAGAGTTTACAGCTGGTGAACGCGAAGAAGAAAAAGAGATTTGTTGCGATAGATATCGCCATGACCATTACGATCTTCTGCTTCTTCTTGGTCCTTCTGATCAGCGTCTGTTTCTCTTGTTTCTCTTTCTCATCAATGCTAATTTGTGTATATCACGTGCCTCGCCATCAATATAAATACAATTCCTGTGACTGGTTGTCGTAGAGGTCCAGCACATTGGTTTGCCCTGGTTCCGATAATGCTAGTAAGATAGCTCTGCTGCGGCTACTCATCACCAGGCGTAGGCGCTTATGTGTCTCCACAGATCATGATCCCTGGTTGCTTGGAACAGCTCTCTTGATGATATCCCTCCATGCCATCATCTCCACAGATCACGATCCCTGGTTGCCTAAAACAGCTGTCTTGATGATATCTCTCCATGCCATCATCTCCACAGATTACGATCCCTGGTTGCCTTGAACACCTCTCTTGATAATTTCCCTCCATGCCGTCATCTCCACAAGTCACGATCCCTGGTTGCCTGCAACAGCTCTCTTGATGATATCTCTCCATGCCATCGTTTCAGCCCATCCAGCGTCGTCTCTCTTGGTCTGCCTCTACCCCTCTTCCCACTGATCTTTCCAGTTGTCACGATGTCCTCCCATGCCTCTTTTCTCATTATGTGGCCAAAGAACAGTGTTTGTCTCTTTCTTATTATTGCATATAGAAATCTACTTTCATTATCGTTGGTAGTTACTGTGGCCGTTCAAGGTATTCGTAACTTCTCAGAAATGCTGCTACTACTGCTAATATTATTACCATCTCCATCTTCTTCTTCTTTCTGAACTCCCTCGTCCTCCTGGTCATCATCATCATGACCCTCGTTATCCTTCTGTTCCTCGACCTCTTTTGCTACTACTTGTACTAATAATGCTTCTACTGTAGCTTTTACTGCTACTATTACTACTACTTCTGCTACTACTATAACTTAAACTTATTACTGCTACTATTGTTGCTGCTACTACTATAAATTAAACTTATTACTGCTACTATTGTTGCTGCTACTACTATAAATTAAACTGATTACTGCTACTATTGTTGCTGCTACTACTATAACTTAAACTTATTACTGCTACTATTGTTGCTGCTCCTACTATAAATTAAACTTATTACTGCTACTATTGTTGCTGCTACTACTATAACTTAAACTTATTACTGCTACTATTGTTGCTGCTACTACTATAACTTAAACTTATTACTGCTACTATTGATGCTGCTACTACTATAACTTATACTTTTTACTGCTACTATTGTTGCTGCTACTACTATAACTTAAACTTATTACTGCTACTATTGATGCTGCTACTACTACAACTTATACTTTTTACTGCTTCTACTGTTGCTGTTACTACTATATATTAAACTTATTACTCCTACTACTGTAGCTGCTACTACTATAACTGAAACTTATTACTGCTACTACTGTTTCTGCTACTACAATAACTTAAACTTATTACTGCTACTACTGTTGCTGCTACTACTATAACTCATACTTATTACTGCTACTACTGTTGCTGCTACTACTATATCTGAAACGTATTACTCTATTCTTGTTGCTGCTACTACTATAACATAAACTTATTACTGCTACTACTGTTGCTGCTACTACTATATCTGAAACGTATTACTCTATTCTTGTTGCTGCTACTACTATAACATAAACTTATTACTGCTACTACTGTTGCTGCTACTACTATAACTTAAAATTATTACTGCTACAACAAACTTGTGAATGACATGTGACCTACTCTATTTGGGCAGATTAACGTTACTTAAACTGTATTACCCCCCTGTTGCCTACTTTAACGGTAAATACTCCCCCCCCCCCACCCCACCCCCCCCCCCCCCCCCCCCCCCCACTACTTCACACTCCACATGTGCTCTGTAGACTTCCTAAAGAGCCAAAAAAGTGTTGCAAAATTTAAAACTGCCAGTTGCAACCTGATTTCCTCTGCGTTTCCTCCGCGCGTTAAAAGTAGTCCAGGCCCTCTGTCTACTGCCCGTTTAATCAATCTTTTGATATGTAAAATATTTTTTTCCTAAAATTTTCCCCAGAATCCTCAGAAGACTTCAGTATTCTGCCCCTGCACATCATCATCCTTGCCTCCGTGGGAGGTGTTATTATAACTTGTGTTAGCGTTTCTTTATGCGTCATGTGCTTGCTGCGAAAGAAAGACAGAGAAAAGCGCCAAGAGGCGACCCGCCCCAAGACCTCAAACAGAAAAACGCCCTGGAAATGGCTGTGTGCAACAGCTCAAATACAACTATATCACTCTCCAGACAAAACAATGAAGGTCAAACTCAGAGACCTGGTGGGTAAAACAAAACCAAAAAAAAAATTGTAATTTTACGAATTGTTTTCTTTGAAGTTTCGCTGTTTTTTACTTTCCTGTAAAATTGGGTAGAGTTTCATGATCGTTGTTTTGTGCGTTCCAGGTTATTTTGACTGTAAGCTACTCCTCCTCCTCCTCCTCCTTTTCTTCCTCAGTTTCTTCTTCTTCTTCTTATTTGTATTCTTCTTATGCTTTTTCTTTCTTCCTTTTTACTTCTTCTACCTATTTTTTTTTTTTTTTACATCTACATCTCTTTACCTCTTGTCTTCTGCTATCTCAACAACAACAAAAGTAGAAATAGGCCGAGGAGGATGGGAATTAAAATAAGAAGAAGAAAATAATAAAACAGAAGAAGAAGAAGAAGAAGAAGAAGAAGAAGAAGAAGAAGAAGAAGAAGAAGAAGAAGAAGAAGAAGAAGAAGAAGAAGAAGAAGAGGAGGAGGTGGAGGAGATGAAGAAGAACAACAACAACAATAATAACCGCAACAACAATAACAACAGCAACAACAAGCAAACGAAAGTATGTCCGTTCTTATTTGGTAACATTATTTTTGGAGTCTTGAAAAGGGAATGTGAAGATTGTATTAATATGAGGAATGTCTATGGTTTCTGCACATTTTTGATCGACACGACTTTGAATTAATAATGGTCTTTTTCGCAAAGGGATGCAGCAGTTTCCTCTGAAGTTCTGGCTGCGTCCTATGACTGCTTTTTCTTTTGGGATGATGTAGATCGTCCTCGGAACTTCAAACTGCGTGCTTTGTGTGACGCTTTCGACAGACTGCCAGTTACTTAGCAGACATAAACAGAACCATATATGATATTAAGCTTTTGCAAATCAGCCAAAAAACTCACCTTCAAAACGTCTTTTAAATATAGCACAGATGATTTTTCCCGTTATTTCGACTGTGAAAGCCAGATTTGTTTTCACTTTACGTGAAGATACAAGTACTCATAGTGGTACAGTTGACGCAAGATTTTCCATTGCTACAGGTCTGCTGATTGTCAACCAGTGGTATCCCATGCCATGCTAAACCTTAATTTTTCTACTTCCCTTCTCCTGGTTTTCTTTAGTCGTACACGTCTCCTGTTCACACCTGCCCACTACCAGAAACTTTCACAAGCACCTGTGCTTGCCAACGTTTCACGAGGCATTTGCAAACCCGACTATGCCAACCCCATCTTCTTCCTTTCATTACGTTTCTTCTTCTTCTGACTGGGGCAAAGGCCCTCAACCAACTCACGCCAAGTCGTTCTACCCTTCGCCATTGCATGGAGGTCTCCCCATGTCCTCCCCATCCTTCTAACTTCATTCTCCAGCTCTCTTCTCCGTGTGTTTTTGGCCTTCCTTTATTCCTATGCCCCTGTGTGTTCCAATGCAAAGACATTCTAGTTATGCTGTTCTCTTGTTTTCTCAGTGTGTGTCCTATACAACGCCAGCGTCTTTTCCTCACCTCTTGGTCCAATGGAGCCTGCTTAGTTCTCTCCTTAAGTTCTACATTAGTTATTCTATCATACCATTTAATTCCCTCCATTCTGCGCAGGCACCAGTTGATGAATTACGTTTGCAAGAGACAAACATTGAGTTTTCCCACCTCGGTTTTTTTATAGTGAATTATTTTGGCCACACTATTCGAAGGATTCTCCGTAGACTCTTAGACTCCTTAGATTCTGAAAAAGAAAAATGTACAAGTATAGTAGTTAAGTATTCAGCAAAGAATATATTTACGTTTGTTTCAGCGGGTGGAGGCGATCGACACCACTACGTGACCTTCTCCAAGATGAACCCAACAACGCCAACCTCTGGCAAGGACGAGAGCCATCGCTACAGTATGACTGATCGCGGAATGGCCCCAACAGACGCTGACGTCATCCCCGAACAAATGACCGAATCTGGAAACTACAAGAGATTCCTGGCCATTGAAGTAACGCCAGAGGACGTCATGGAAGAATCTATGCAACAGCAACAGCTGCAGAACAAGTACGTTCAGTTACCTACAGGCGTCATTGGCATGACCAACCTTGACCATCGCGTACCCGACGTCTACCCAAATTACCATGGCAACCAATGGCATCCAAACATGGCTACCGACGGGATCATGTACCCCTATGGATCATCAAGTCTGAACCGGCCAACCCCGTTTCTTGGTCTCTCCAAGCAGTATTCTTACAACCAACCGGAAACCAAATATGAGAGCAAATATCTGAAGGCTCTGAAGACCATGGAGAATGACTCTATCAAAGAATATCAGAGCTCATGAATCTTCTGTCATTATTTGCTTGGAAATATAAAATCTACATTTGTGGCGTGTAACATATGCTGCTCACCAGCGTCTCAAACGCAAATATATGTACGTCAAGAAGCAGTATAAATGTAGGCGATATTGTAATGAAGACCGTTGGTGAACAAAAACCCAACATAACACAGTAGGAAGTTATGAATTACTGTGTTTCTGGCTTTATTAAAGTCACTGGACACCATAAATTATGATAGTGAATTCTTTAAAGAAAAGGTATATAAAACTGGGATAAGTCACTATGATGATAGTGGATCTTTGAAAGACAAGAAATGTAAAGCTAGGATTAATCATAATGATGGCAACAAATTACTAAAAGACAGAACAGTGTTTAACTGAGAGAAAACACAACAATAGTAATGAATCCTTCAAGAACGGGAATTGTTGGCGTGTACCGCATTAGTCCCCGCAAACCTTGACCTGGCATCCGAATGACCCCAGAACCATATATCGAATGCTAGGCCAACGGGAACGCCAGCAAAATGTAAATATTTCTTTTTATTTGCTAGTGGTTCGTTTATACTGCAGTGATGAAAGTGAAGTTTAGAAAGACTCAGGTATATTAATTTCATCTCCTTTATTGCAGCCTAAAAGATTGCCATGCAGTGCTCATACACGTCACTATTCAGACAGTGCTCCAATGGATACCAAGCTAGAGAAACATTTGGGGAAACGAAAGAGCAGACTACTCCAGTTGACACGAGATTACTGCAACATTAGAGGACATGAAAGAGCAGACAATTTCTGTGGACACGAGGCTACTGCAACATTAGGGGACACGAAAGAGCAGACAACTTAGCAACAACTGGAAGTCATACTGAATAGCCAGATATAGGATGTACTTGTTAGAAAATAAAACTGAGTTCAAGGCAGCCATTAGAACCCATTGGAACACTTGCCATTCAGGAACACAATCCTGATCACGTACTGAACTTAACAGACTCTGCAGCCGTATGTACAAGACATTCAAGACTGGGGATTTAGAACTTTGCTCATGTGGTCAGGCACCACAGAATCCTGAACATTTGTTACAGACATACTCTCTACGTACATGAGAGAGGTTTGAACGGTTGGCATTCCAATGAAGACCAAGCTAAATGGATCACTGGAAGAAATGCGCCGGGCCACAGACTTCATGAAGATCTCTTACCTTCTCACCTTTAAGCCACCGGCGGTGAAAAGAGAAAGAAAGAAATGAACTAGTCACAGAAATGCAGTTCAGTTGCTCAGAACCGTGATTTTGGGACCTCGCGAGATTATGAAGAATCCAACTGTTCAGAGTGGATGTGTAACATTTTATTTCGTGTGCTTTACAGAACTTTGTAGAATCAACTCAGGCATTTTCGACTGTTTGTGAAAGCAATTTTATGTTCAGTAGTTTGCCTTTGTTTTCTAAACGGTTGATTCTGGATATAACTGTCGAAACCGACGCAAGGCAGTCTGCTGCCAAATCGACTGTAGGTGGGATCGGAGCCGGCACTTCTGCATTACGAAGCGCGTTTACAGAGCCTGACGTATACGTGTATCTGAACACCGGGTATGAAGTACAATAAAACATGTTATCACCGAATTAACAGATACAATCTTCACTACACGGATGATAACACTGTGGTTATGCTGTTCTCCATTGATAAACATAGCAGATCCTTCTTGTTTCACCAATGAAGTACGTTTTAAGGAATATATTTTTTTTTAAAACTGCATTGTGTATAAGTACGCGCGTGTTTGTGTGTGTGGTGTATTTTGTATATAAAAAAAATTCATCATATGGACGTGTTCGGGGTGCAGAAAGGTATCCCAACTTATAACTCATTTTTCTTCAACAGAATTGTTGACATCGATAACAAAGCGTGCCCACCAGTGCTAATGGCACCGCATTCACACAGTTGAACATTCATGCTGAATGACTGAACGACTGACGTTCAGCACCACCAGGACCGCACGATGAGCGACAATCACCCGGTGACACAAAGTGCCACCATTCGAATGAGAATCACCAAGTCGCAGAAAACCCGTTTCACCAGTAGGTTATATTTTGGACCCTAGACGACAACCGGGGTTGGGGCCTTCAAATAACAAAGCAATTGCGTCTCATATTGGGATGGGGTTGTCTTTCATACTTCCGCTGAAGTCATCCCCAAGTAGGATTTAACTTTTTAATAATTGAAGCCCCACCCTGACTTCTGCCGGGGACCCTGAATATAGCCAGGGCATAGATATGGCCTAACGGTAGATATGGCTTAATGGTATATATGGCCTAACGGCTCCACGGGTGATCCTCATCCGCATGGTGGCGTGTTGTGTCACCAGGTGTTTATTGCCTGTGGGATATCCTGGTGGGATACAACTACCTACCTACGTACCTTCAGAATACAATCTGAACAATGCCGTAGCTTGAGTAGATCATGACGATGTGGAGAGAATGATGCAGCGGAGATTCACCAGAGGATCTAGCCGACACTTTTACTCAGATGAACGGCAAGACGGTCTTGTTAAATAAACTGCTACATGTACCATCAGCATCGGAACTCTTACCTGGCTGTTGGCGGAGGCAGACAAAGCGCTTATGTGAATGCCCTGTATGCTGTGGTGTCGGTTCCTAAATAAACTCAAGACAAAGGGAAATAATGTAATCAAATGTGCTGCTGTAATGGTTATTTCCCTTACAGCTTGACTTTCTTCT